TAATTCATATGGCGCATGTGGCGACATCTACGAGTTAACTCAAATCCTCTCACACATTATTGTTTACCCTTACAAAAACTATAAGTCAACTATGAGTCATTATGTAGAAAAGTAGCTGATCTATTAACAAAAATCTATTTTATTTTTTTCGCTTTAACATCCTGTATCTCAGTAAGGAGCAGACTAAGACCCATTATTGTTAATGAAAATATTATTATTTTGGCCTCCTGAACGTACATTTACAATTTGGCCCATTACTTATGAATCACCCTGTATATTATAAGGTAGTCGTGGACAAAATTATATATTTTCTCGAAAAGGGATGTTGGTGGATGCCGATCTTATCCGATTCCTCATTATAAAATTGCACAGAAATTATTAAAGGTAATCTATACCTTAGCCATTTATTGATTTATACAGGGTGATTTATCAGCTCATCATCAAACTTTGACATATGAAAGCTAATCCAATTACAAAAAAAAATGTTAATGAACATATGTCCTATTTTAATTATTTACGAAATTATAACACTTTAAAGTTTTAATTTTTATATCATAATTAACTGCTCCATTTGTTTAAAACATAAATACAGTGAAATTCCCCTAACTCGAATCACTAAGGGAGCGGAAGAAAACTTCGCGTTATGAAAAATTCGAGTTAGAGAAACACATTTAAACACATTTGAAGCCTAGTCAAATGCTTGAGCTTAGGAAAATTAGTCGACTTAGAGGATAATTCGAGATATAGAAGTTCGAGTTAGGGGAATTTCACTGTATTACAAATGTTCAAAATAGCCTCCTTCTGAAGGAAGAATACATGCTTTACAATGACGAATTTAAAGAGTTCTTCAGCCGAATTAAAATGTCTGGTTGATTTCTTGTTTCATTGTCAGTAGCAGCCATTTGTATTCTGTTTAATAACTGTTATCGTGTGTTAATTTCCACTTGATACACAATTTGTTTCATATGACCCCATAAGTAGAAATCCAATGGATTAAGGTCGGAGGATCTAAGTGGCCAAGCAAATGGACCATTATTACCAATCCACTTGTTTGGAAAATATTGATTTAACCACTCGACAACTACTCTTCCGCGATGAGGTGGGCAGCATCGTGCTGGTACCACATATTTTGAATTACATTAAGAGGTATATCTTCAAGTAAATCAAAAAGTGTATTGGTCAAAAAAATCTGTAATTTACAGCGTTCAAACGTCCATCAAGTACATGCAAACCTAGTAAAATGTTGTTAAATATGCCACCCCAAACGTTAATCCTGAAACGTTGTTGAAATTTCCTTGGTCTAATCGCATGCGGATTTTGTAATGCCCAGATATGTTCATTATGGTAATTATTTATACCATCTCGTGTAAAACATAATTAAAAACATTTGAAATGAAGTCATTATTTTGGGCATGTTACTGCAATAACCATTTACAAAATGCTAACCGTTGCTGATTATCTCCTGACTGTAGAGCTTGAACGTTTTTTTTACGATATTTTGACTTACATGTATGTTGTGTGCTATTCTTCGAGTGCTGATGGAAGGATTATCAATGACAGCATTAATTACAGCTTCTTCGTCCTCTACATTAACTACATGCGGTCGAATAGGATTACCTGTTTCTCGAAGTCTTCTGAAAGAATCGCTAAAAACTGAATAATATGGCAAATGACACTTTGGAAATCTTTCTTGATATTCTGGTACTGATTGTCGAGCATTTTAATTGCAAAAACCATACACGAAAATTATATCAGCATACTCTTTAGTGCTTAACGTAGATTTTGAGTTTCTTCTTGTATGTAATAATTAAACCTTACAGCAAACTGACATAATATATTACAATGGCAACTTTGTTTTAGTTGAATGTTTGATTTTACTGTAAATTCGCTGCAGAAAACTTTAAAGTGTTATAATTTCGTAAATAATTGAAATAGGACATATTATTTCCTCACTCAGAGTGTTGCTCAGAATTAACCCACGTGGTAAGTAATGCCACTTAACTCAAATTTAACACGTGGTTTTTTTGACAATGTCCAAAGTTTTCGCTAATTTAGTGCAATTTACGAACTCACCCTGAGGAAGCGTTCATTAACAGCGAGTTCATTAACATTTTTTTTTTTTGATAATTGGATTAATTATCATATGTCAAAGTTTAATGGTGAGCTAATAAATCACCTTGTATTTAAAGATTAAAAATGCTTACACTAGTTGTCATAATTTTTGCTCTAGCAGTATATGTGGTTGAAATTATGCCACCACTTACAGAAACACCATGTATTTTTATACAGGTGCTCATTATTTATGGAATATAGTATACAGGGTAATTCAAATTCTACAGAAATTATACAGAAATGGTTAAATGGGGACAAAGTTGCGTATCTTAGAGCTCATCATATTCAACTAAGTTTTGGGATTTAGCCGTTTTAGTTTTTAAAACATTGTTTTGCATTCTACGTAAATTAAATGTTTAAATTAACTAGTGATATAAAAATTTTTTGATCTATCCGAAAATATTAATCGCTTCAGGTTTGTTTTTCTTGGGAGACACTACGCCGACGTCTCGGTTACCGAGAATACCGAGCTCCACTATGTCTCAGACAATGTTTGGGACGGAGCAATATTTGCGATCTTGCCGTATTTATACTCCGCAAGCAATCAAAACCGACTTAAACGATGGCTGAATAAAATGGTATTCGTTGTTTTTGCTAATAGGTTATCCTCTTAAAAACACGCATTAGCGTTATTCACCATTGCTGAAATTGAAGAGCGCCAAAATGGAACTTTCAAATAAAAAAAAACTTATTGAAATCGAGCAATATGTTCAAAAGTTATTGCAGCATATTAAAATTAACAGTAAAATAATAACCAACCTCTTTTAGTTTACTTTTTTCCATATCACTATCGGTAGCGCCCGATATCGAAATCCTCATCGATTCCCTAAACATTAACTCCCTAGCTTTCATTTCCTGCCGAATCCTTTTCGGTAAATTCCTTTTCTCAATGTTTTGTTTTTTCGTNAATTTCCCCCAAAAGAAGAAATTTTCCTATGTGTACATTGTACACTACGCGCCTGCTCGTGTAATAAAAATAGGCGCGCCTGCCGAAAGGTTAAAAACACGCATTAGCGTTATTCACCATTGCTGAAATTGAAGAGCGCCAAAATGGGGCTTTCAAATAAAAAAAAACTTATTGAAATCGAGCAATATGTTCAAAAGTTATTGCAGTATATTAAAATTAACAATAAAAAAATAACCAACCTCTTTTAGTTTACTTTTTTCCATATCACTATCGGTAGCGCCCGATATCGAAATCCTCATCGATTCCCTAAACATTAACTCCCTAGCTTTCATTTCCTGCCGAATCCTTTTCGGTAAATTCCTTTTCTCAATGTTTTGTTTTTTCGTNCCTTCTAGAAAAAAAAATTACATTCATCGGAACATTACGTAAAAACAAACGTGAAATTCCTCCGGAGTTTTTGCCAAATAAAAATCGTCAACCTCAATTATCTTTATTTGGCTTTCAACAAGATACTGCATTAGTCTCTTATGTCCCAAGAAAAAACAAAGCCGTTATATTATTATCAACGACGCACGACTTACCGGAAGTTGACGAAGAATCTCATAAACCCTTTGATTATATATAATATGGATTGAGCTAACTAAATATATCTACTAACAAAAATGTGGCTCAAGGTGAATAGTCGCAGATGGAAAGCGATAATGTGAAAGTGTAACAAAGATAGACATAAAACGGTACTAAACAGACGGGCGCATGCGCACAAAAGTGTCAAACCTCTTCCATTTGACGTTTATCGTTTTGTTGTGTCACAGCCAGTCACACCGTTATGTTTAAAAATGTANAATAACCAACCTCTTTTAGTTTACTTTTTTCCATATCACTATCGGTAGCGCCCGATATCGAAATCCTCATCGATTCCCTAAACATTAACTCCCTAGCTTTCATTTCCTGCCGAATCCTTTTCGGTAAATTCCTTTTCTCAATGTTTTGTTTTTTCGTTAACTCCTCCTCCTTTCGTTGTGATCTTCGTTTAACTTGATCCATTTCTTTATCGTGACGCACCAACATTTGATGCCGTTGTAAAAAGAAGATATCTTTTAATTGCCTTTTCATCAATTGGTGTTTTTCGTGAATTTGTTTCTCTTCAATCTCCCAAAGTGCGGCCTCTCTTGTACGCGTTAACTGCTGCTTTTGTTGTAAAAATTGTCGCTCCATCAACGCAATTTTCTCCCGGTGAGAATCGGAGAGTCTTCGAAGGGAACTTTCGTGGTTTTCATTTAACTTTTCTAAAAATGATTTTTCCCGGTCGAGATGTTCCGCGTCTAATTTCTCCCTGCGCAATTTAAACTCGTTTTTACGACTGTCTTTAGGTAACCGATCGATTTCGGCTTTTAATAATCTCAATTCTTGTTTTAAACCTTCTCGGAATTGTTTTAATTCGCGTTCTTGTTCGGCGCGAATTTTTTTCGATGCGGCTCTCATGTCGGCGTCTTGTTGAGCTTCCGCCCTTTCGACTTGCATTTTTTGTTGACGCGATAATAATTCTAAATCATTTTCGTAAGTTCGTTCCAAACTTTGACGTTCCTGTTCGAAACGTTTATCTTGTTGTTCAATCGCGATGTTTTCTTTTAACGCTAATTCTTGAAATTGTTTCTGTTCTTGTTTTTGAAGATATTTTAATTCCCTCAACTCTTGTTTTCGATCGGCTTGAGGGTCAATACTCAAATTATCTTCATCGCCATAAATAACTTTAGACGTTGTTGTTGTAATCAAAACCCCATCAACCATAAATTTTCGCGTACGTTTTCGCGTTTTTCTATTATGTATGCTAGCACTGTCTTGTTCTTTTTGATTGTGGTTATGATGGTGGTGACTTGGCGCAGGCTTTTTTCTTAAAATAACCGCTTCTTCTTCAGTTTCCCCCGATTCTGATAGTTGCTCTTTATCTTTGCTACTTCCCCTACTATCGTGACTAGCCAAAGAAATACTTTCAATATCAGAATTTTTTGAGACCGAAATCGGTCTCCGATTTGAATCACTACTCCTTATAGAACCACAATCACTATGCGATCTTGAATCAATCGTGTTACAATCAATGTTGTGATGGTTTCCGTTTAAATGTACAACTTGTCCGTTGATTTTGTTGATTAATTTCGGTGATGAAGTCTCTAAAATAATCTCATTATTACTTCTGGTGCTTAATTTTCCGGAACTAGAATTTGATAAATCACTCGTTGAACCTCGCTCCTCGTTAAAAACACACGAAGAACCCGAATCTTTAACTTGAACTTTCTCTTGATCAATTTTTACTACGGAAACATGACTGGTATCAAGAAGTAAACGTGAAGAATTGTTTTCATTGTCTGCGGACACATCTAAACCAGAATCGTTAACGACATAACTCGAATCGACGATTAAAACTTCGCTTTCGTCGAGTTTTTTAAGGGGTTTATCGCGAAATTCACTTGGCGGGGGATACTCTAACGAATCTAAAGCGTGACTACTATATTCGTCGTCTGACGATTCGATGTGCGTTTTATTCGTTTCATTCGCAACGATTACTACTTCATTTCCACTGTGAGTTGAAGATGCGGAAGAATGTGATAAACTTTGTAAATTGTCTATTATTACTGGTGGGTGAGTTGTAACAACAGTAACCTAAAAAAATTAACAAATTAATACAATATAACCACAATACCTCGTTAGAACGGATTTCATCTTATCAATTGTCGCCAACTTCTCGACAATCTGAGAGGTAATGGTAATTTATAAGTGACAGCAGTAAAGTAAGGTTAAGCTAACCTAAAATGTATGAATTAAATTCTTTTTTTAAGTTTCAATAAAGAATACTTTGAGCTATCTGATGATGAAGAATTTTTGAGCGATTATGATGAGGTTGAGAATGAAATTGATGGTGAATCAATCCTCTGCGACTATGTACACTAAATCACAATTTTATAAAATAATTATAAAATTAATATGTCAATTTGACGTCTATCAAATGTCAATGATAGACAAATTCACAATTTTGACGTTTTGAACATAACCTAATTTAACTTCATTCCTTTTAAAGAACTTTTTTTACAAAATTTTATCATTAACAAAACAATTTTTATATCATACCTTAAAATATTGTCTTTTATCTTCAATTTGTGATATAAATCGTTTCTTAACTACAAAAAATAAGGTCAATGAGATTTTATAATTTTGAGGTTTTCGAACATAACCTAATTCTACGTAATTCCTTTTAGACTTTTTTCTACAAATTTTTATTATTAATTCAGCAATTTTTATATGATATTGAAAATAACATCTTTTATCTTCAATTTGTGATATAAATCGTTTCTTAAGTCCAATAAATAGAGTCAATAAGATTTTTTAAATTTTGACGTTTCTGAACGTACCCTAATTCAACTTAACTCCTTTCGATCAAAATCTTTATATTATATTATGAACCATAAGTCTCAAAGTAACAACATTACAAAACACGAATAGAATAAATTAAGCATTTGCTAATTCAAATTGTGAAATTAGTAGTTGCCTACTCATGTGTGATGTCACGAACAAATATATAAATGTGGATAGAATTTCTGTCCCCATATTAATCCGTTATATCGAGGTAGTTTAATTTTATAAATTTTTACCTGACTTATATTAGAAGCTAAACTATTAGACGGATCACTGCTATCACTAATAATAATAGTTGAAGTATTCATTTTCCCCCGGCTTTCCTGGGATGTAGAAACAACAACGAAACTTCCATCATCACTTCCACTACTAACAACAACTCCCTCCATTTTTTGCCCCCCAATACCAGCATCGAGTTCCTCTTTACTCCCTGATAATAATTTATGAAACACTGCTTCTTGAAAATCTTTATCTTTGCTAACTCGTTTTTCAATCGCCTCAATTTCCGCTTTAACTGATGATTGTGGTTTTTCTTCTAAAAGCGGTGGAGGGGGTGGGGTTGGAATAGGAAGTGGTGGCGTTGTTGGGGGGCTTAAAGGAGAAATTGGGGGTGTTGGTAAAGTTGATGGTGGAAGTGGTGGTGGAGGAGGAGGTTCTTCTTGGATTTTTAATGGTTCCTCTTCCTGAATTTTTGGAGGTTCTTGTGGTATTGGTGGAGCTGGAGGAGGGGGTTCTTGTTCTACCGGGGGAAGTGGAATTTGAGGAATTGGTGGTAGTGGTGCTGGTCCTTTTTCGCGCGATGTTTTACGATGAGTTTCGGATTCTTTCTCCTTAAAAATAACGAACAAAATTAATTTTTATATTAATAATTTTATTAATAATTACCTTTTTATCACTTTCCGTAGAAATTTGACTGGTCGATGATTCCACCGAGATCTCCTTCTTCAATTTCTTTGAATCATCCCCGATTATTTTTACTTCTTGATTACCTAAACATTAAAATAATAAATATTTTTGATTAAAATTAACTAAAAATTACCTTTAGCTTCAACTTCACTACTTTGTACGGATGCTGTATCATCTTCGATTTCTGGTAACTGAGATGTACGATTGTCCTAGAAATAAATTAACGAATAAGAGGGAGCTTAAGAGTGATGACTCAAGAAATCAATTGAAGCAATTAAACCCATTAACCTTGATTATAGAGGTCAAGGTTACATTTTTTCTTACCTTTTTAACCGACTGAATAGGAGTACCAGGTGAGCCGCATGCACAATAACAAAGCTGTGATAATATATGACGCATTTTGCGCGAATTTTTTTAATTTTTTAACTTTATCAGTTTACTAAACTTACCAACTCTTTGGTATAAACCCTTATTTTTTTTAGATTTTTTTCCGCGCTGCTTACAAATAAATTCATAAGTTTACAAATAAACAACCGCAACAAACAAAATTTAAAACAATTACCTCCGAATCTTCATCAGTAACTTCTTCCTCAACAACCTCGGCTTTATACTCCAATAAAAGATCTCGAATCGGTTTCGAATCAAGCGTACAAGAAATAAAACTATGCCGTAACAGATCTTCGCAATTCGGCCGCTTCTGGGGATCCTTAATCAACGATTTCGCGATAAAATCCGCAAATTCCTTGGACCATTTAGACGGTTGCTCCAATTTGGGGGGCTCGCTTTTTTGAATCTTAAGTAGAACCCGCATCGGCGACATCTCGTGGTTAGGCGGTTCCATTTGGGCGAATTCAATCAGGGTTATACCCAACGACCAAATATCCACTTTAAAATCGTAGGGGTTATCGCGAAAAGTCTCGCACATTACCACTTCCGGTGCCATCCAGTACGGCGTCCCGATGAACGTATCGTGTTTTTGGAGGGTATTTTTATTTTTTGCCGATACACCAAAATCAGCTACAACAAATTATTCTTTGAAATAATTTTTATTTCATTTTTTTTAGGTTATGGTTTTTATTAATTTGGCGAATAATTTCTTTTCAATCAAAATGGCGGATGGTGTGCGGTAACCTAGCAACGCATAGGGTGCCGATAACATCATTCATCGGGTTTAAATTTAACACAAAACTTTGAAAAAATCGGCTATTTACTTAAATAAAACGAAAGCGAAGGCTGAAATCGAAGCATAAAGTGCTTCAGAACAACATTGATAAAAAAAATTGTTTAAAATTTGATTTAAAACCAAAAGTAAGTGTAAACAGCGCCCTCTGTTGCTCGATTAACTTATTAATTTAAATTTATGTTTATTTTAGATAATAAGATAATAAATAAGACAAACTGTTCTAAGTTAATGGACATCGTAGCCAAGACGCATTAATAATTAATAACATCAAAATGTCTTGATTTATTCGCAACTAATATACCACACTGATTAGTGGACCCTATGTATACAGGGTGATTCATAACTCGTGTCTGGTGATCCACCTTGCATTAAAATGCTTGTTTATTTATTTTATTTATTTATTTATACAAATGGATACAGAACGGGACAAACCCTATAATACTGCATCACAACATTGACATAAAGAAATCAAACAGAAATATCAGCGCAATATAAGCCAGAAAAAATACATACAGAGACGCAAACCAAATGAAAATTATACAAAATGAATAAAAAAAAAAAATATATATATATATATATGTATATGAGTAACAATTGACGAGTGAAATTCGATTAAATTTCGATTAAATTTAATGTAAAATTAGACAAACTATAATCAGACCAGTCCGGTCGGCGAGGCCAGTGCATCAGTCGTTACTATTGCAGGTGCGACGCTGATGGAGGGACAGAAACCGTAAAGAAGCACAAGTAGAGTCGTAGTCATCATACACTAGATGAGATTTATAACACAAGTACTTCAAAAATTTTCTCTGAACCCGCTCCAATCTATCGATATGTATGTGGTAATGAGGATTCCACACAACGCTACAGTAGTTTAGAATACTGTAAACATAAGCAAAATATAGTGTTTTAATTGCATTTATGTTAGAAAAATGCTCAGTAGACCTAATAACAAACCCCAACATGCGCCAAGCTTTATTAACTACTCCATCAACGTGCTCTCTGAACAACAATTTCTCATCAAACATGACTCCCAAGTCTCTAATACAGGATACTCGTTGTATACCATCCCGATCAAAGTTGTAATCGAAATGAATGACATTTGATCTTCTACTAAAAGTAATAACATTGCATTTTGATCGGTTAAGCGTCATGAAATTAGCTTCGCAATACCGTTGCAACTCAACTATGTCCAACTGAAGCTTCGAGCAGTCGCGCGGAGACGTGATACGCAGAAAAAGTTTAAGGTCGTCAGCATACATTAAACATTGAGCATGTTTAATAACAGAGAAGATATCGTTAATATAAATAGTAAAAAGTAGCGGACCAAGGTGACTGCCCTGCGGGACCCCAGATGGAACCTGAATAGGGTCGGATAGATAACCATTCACTGATACAATCTGAGTTCTGTCCCGGATATAAGATGCAATCCAACAAAGTAAATTGCCATTAATTTCAAATTTTGCCAGCTTGTTCAGCAGAAGTTCATGATTCACTCGATCGAAAGCCTTGCTGAAATCAGTATAAATAGCATCAACTTGGTATAGTTGTTCAAGTGAGTTAAGAATATAATCCGAGTATAGTAGCAAATTGCTCACGACCGAGCGACCAGCGTGAAACCCGTGTTGTCTGGGGTCAATCATACTCTTAACAGCAAAAAATAAACGTTTATATACAAGCCTCTCGAAAACCTTACTGAACTGTGGCAAAAGAGATATTGGTCTGTAATTGGACGCATCATTACGGTTACCAGACTTGAATATTGGTATAACGTGAGCTTGCTTCCAGGCAGACGGGAAAACACAAGTACTTAAGGAGACGTTGTACAAAATAGTAAGGGGAAATGAAAGTGACTTGTAACAATTTTTTATCAAGAAACCAGGAATACCATCCGATCCCGGTCCTCCGGTCCCGTCAATCTCCCTCAGTGCCACCTCCACCTCCGCGCGATCAAAACATAAGACTCCAGAACAACCCACAGCAATATCACAACGAGCCGGCCCAGCACCCGCCGAAGCAGTGAAAACTGAGCCGAAGCAATCTGAAAATAAAGAGCAAATGTCTTCACCGACCGTAGCAACAGAGTCACCCAATGTCATCACCGCTGGAACACCACTTGCACCCCTCCTACGCCTAAGGAAAGACCAGAAGTGCTTAGGATTACTTGTAATATTTGATTCTGTACGTTGAATGTAGTTATTATAATCGGTATTAATAAGATGTTTAGCGCGACCCCTCAACAATGAGAAAGACAAATAATCGATCCGGTTCCCATACCGCTTCCACCTCCTGTGGGCCTTTTTCTTCTCACTGAGAACCCTTATAGTGCTAGGTGTAAACCACACTGGGTATCCCCCGGGTCGTTCTTTGAATTTAGGTACATGTTTTTCAATTGCGTACCTCAAATGAAAATAAAAAACATTCAAGAGACGTTCAATGCTGCCATGTCGCAGTTCAGAGTTCCAATTTATTGATGTCAAATATTGGTTAAGTTCATCAAAGTTTGCCCTACGGTAGTTATATGTAACATTTGATTTATTNTACCTATAGTGTCTAATAACACATTTTTTTTCTCGGAAACCGTTATACCTTACGGTGTTTGGATGGTTGATTTCAATTGCTAAAGGCATCCTCTAAATCATCCTAAAATTTCATCAATTTTGAAGGTGCCCAACGGGGTCAAATTCACCCCTAAAGTCCCATCCGCGGTTTATAATACTGATTTTTTTTCTCGAAAACCGTTAGGGCTTACGGTGTTTTGAAAATTGATAAAAATACTTAGAAGTGTGTTCTATTATGTGGTAGAATTTCGTTTAATTCGAAGGTGCCCATCAGGGCGAAAACATCCCTTTTTCGGGGGGTGAGGGTTGAAAAATTTTGTTTTTACTAAATGGGGGTGGTTAGCTGTTCTTCAGGGTAAGAGTGACCTGTGTGTGAAATTTGGTTACCCAAATCGTATTGGTTACGGAATTATTAATATTTTAAGTTTATTGCTAGGATTTATGGATAACTTCACACCAGTAGAAACGTCTAATGACCGTTCTCGCTGAGACATCCTGTATAACCTTATAAACCACAAAAACTCAGTGTTGTGATAATTAAAACCTAAACTAAACGATTACGCTTGTAACAATGCAAATAAACCAGCGTTAATAAACGCCGTGTTTGCGAAATAGCGTAATAAAGAGATTAATGTAAACAAAAAGAAATGAATTCCATAAATAAAACATGAAGCGTGTATATTAAGGTCGAGAGAGCTATCCTTATTGACATAACAGTTTTCCTCGAACGGGGTTAGGAGTGAAACTTCAAATAGCCAAGAGAGGCGCGGCTTTGAGATCGGCGAATACCTGTAAAGTCTCTAAAAAGCACGTGGTGTGAGTCAATGTTCAAGGTGGGCGCGTGTGAAGTTAGATGAAAGTCGTACAGGTGTGAGGACGCCTTGAAAATGATGTCACCGATTTTATTACGAATCCGGACATCGTGTTCGCGCGCACTTCCTGTTTAAAGCTGATAAAACGGATTGAAATCATGTGGAAAAAATAGATGAAATAGAAATAAATTTTTTTTTTTTTTTATTACTTTGACGCTAATTTTTTATCTAAATATAGGTGTGACCTGTAAGGTTTTGTCATTCAAATATTTAAACCTATTTTTATCTTGGTTTAAATGATTTAAAGGAATTAAAAAATAAATTTTAACTCACCCAATTTAACTCCCCCCGCCATGGTTAATAAAACATTTCCAGCTTTTAAATCGCGATGAATAATATGTGATTTATGTAAAAATTGTAATCCTTTGCACATATTTTGACAAACATAAGCAATTTGCGGTTCCGTTAAAGGTTTTTCAAGTTCAGTCATAATACTGTCAACAGCCCCACCATCACAATACTCAATCAACATCCATAATTGTTGTTCGTGTTGGAATGCTTCGATTAATTCAACAATATTAAAATGTTTACACTCGGTTAAGATATCAATTTCAATCATAAAATCGGAAAGATCATCTTCTCCATCTAATCGACACATTTTGGCTGCAGCAAGCTGACCGGTTGTTTTATGTTGGGCTTTGTACACTTTACCATATGCTCCATCTCCTAGTTCGCCGATCATGTCCCAAAACTCCTCCGGATCCGAGTCCATTCGGACGTTATTAAAAACTTTTTTCTTTTTGGCATCGTTGCCCCCAATGTGTAACACTTTCTTTATGTTACTTAAAAAAGACATTTTGAGTTCGTTGTGGGGTTTCTTTTTGAGGTTATTTTATTATTTTTAGTGCCATTTGAACGTCTCGGTGGATCTATAAAGATTTAAGCTTGATTTTACTTCTTGTATTAAATTAACATTAAATAATCGTTCTTTTTAAACAAACCCCTAAGATTCATCCCATTTTTTTTCTAAAAATTTACGAAAAAAATCTATTGACTACTTCTACTAATACTCTGAATTGATTTAATTAAGCGAGGATATTCGATTAGCACAGGAGTTATTTACGTCGAATCGGGGGGCTCCGGGGTTTAGAAATTTAGATTTTGAGAACGTAGGTTCGATTTTTAATGCAGTGAAAGGAATTTGCACGTCAGTGTATGCAAAATCGCTACAGCTAACATCGGCCGATTTTACATTTCAAGAGTACAAACTTACATTTTTCTAATTGGCACGGAATCCACGCTCAACACTGGATTTAAATTACACCTTTTCTACACGAAAACACCGTGTTTTTATCACATTTCATACACACTTAGGCGGCCATATCATTTTTTACTAGTTACTAGTTAGCAGTTACCTTTACAGTGTTGCCACGCCTCTACTACATTTAAAACGCAATATCACAACGAATTAAATTAAAACATCTAACAAAACACGTTCACAAACTATATTTACACCCTCTATTTAAATATAATTAATAAATTAATTTAATTTATTACAAAACACAGCTTTAAAATCCACAGTTATTTTTGTATTTAATGTTGGTGAAGTTGATTGTCAAAGATAAAAATATGTCAAATCAACCGCAATCCAGAAGTATTCTCGCTAAAATCTTAAAAAATTTCATAAATTCGATAAAACCGAGGCAATGGTCAGGAGATTTAATAGGAAAAGATTACCACGGAACGAAATATTTTGAAATTCCAGCCGATCCATCGCTCGGTAGACGAAGAGAACGATGGTTTGAACCTATAAACAAGGAGAATTTCGAACAAGAATTACCCCCCGAGTGGCAAGCATGGCTTCGAGGGAAAAGACGGGAGCCCCCCACAGAGGATGAAATCGACCGTAATTTAGCTCTTATCCATATGAAGAAAATAAACGCAATAGAAGTGGATAAAAAAGGAGGATTAATGACGCCCGCAACGAAAGGGTTTGAATCATTTCCAAAACGAACTGAATATGAGCTAACTCCAGGAAAAGATCGAAATGAATAAATAAAATAGTTACAATAATTTTAGTAATTTATTTTTTTAGAAATAATAAAAATACTTGACAATGAATTAATTTTATTTACATCTTAAGATCGATAAACAAGTTTATACATGCAAAAAATGCGTCTTACAAAATAATTACGATTATTTTTCCTACACAGTAGAAATAAAATATGTTATCAAATCTCTTTTATCCAGAAAAATCACTATGATCAAATAACGTTTGGTCATAAAGTGATGCTCGTACCATTCGTCCACCAAAATATCTTCCATTCAGCGCATCTCTTGCTCTTTCAGCTTCTATTAATAAAGAAATATATTTAATTTAAGTAAAGTTAAAAAAAATTTAAAGTTACCTTTCGTTTCTGTAAACTCCACAAAAATCTTCACAATAACATCAGTATCATCATCTTCAGATTGCTTTTCATTATAAATAATAACTCTCTCAACATTCCCAAATTTTGTACACTCCTCTTCGATTTCTTCCTGAAGTGTTTGATCAACATCTTCAGGTCCTACCATATTTCTTAAAATTACCACCTTTGAATCAACCTTTCTCATCAATTTTTGCATCACCAAATGTCTTGCATTTTGACCCTTAATCGACATATTTTCTTGTTGCTGTAACGTTTGAGGTTCGTTTTGATCTAATAATTTCTTTTGTAACTCTTCTTGTTGTTTTAACTGAGCTTCTTGGGCCCTCTTCATAGCTTCTTGCGTTGAAGCCGCGTTAACCGTTGTTGTTTGGAGATTCGTAGTCCCTACATGGGGCGTCGTCGTAGCGTTAATATTCGTTGTAGCCGGCGGTAAATTAACTTGAACCGCCGCTAATTGAGGAATCGCAACTCCCGGAGGTGGGATATACCCTGGAAGCGTACTTTGAACTATTTGATTTTGAATTGTGGGAAGTGTGGTTATCGCAGCGGGTATTGCGGGAATTTGAGGTACAACTGTTGGTATACTTGGTGTTTGGCTGAGTTTTGATAATCCTAAAGCTACCGCATTGCTTGCCACCGCATCCATCGCTTGGATTTTAGCTGTAGCTGCAGCTGCGGCAACTGCAGCCGCTGTTGGCATTGCTGTACTTCCCGAAGAAGGTCCCATTAAAGCGTTTGGAGGTGTTATTGCTCTTCCTACTCGTAAATACTGTCCACCTAAATCGAATAAATTCATACTTGCTATTGCTTCGTTTGCTGCTTGTGCCGTTTCGTATTCGATAAAACCATAACCTTTATGTTTATGTGCGGTACTTCCTTGAGCTAATTTACAGTATATTATTGGACCAAAAGCTTCAAAAACACTATTATTGAAAAAAAATATGTTTTTAGAATACAATTTTTCTTTTAAAATTTAATTTTTTAATAGGTTATGTTTATTAACCAAAAATAAAAATCGATAACTACATTACCGACGAATTTGCGCCATCTTTCTTATTTTATATTATTTAATTAATTTATTTAAATTCTTAAATTAATTAAACGATAAAGAAATAAATAAATTTGAGTATTTACCTTTTAATATCATCTTCAGTTAAATCTGGATGTATACTAGCAACGTATATGCGATTGTAATTTTTCGCTTCCTCTTGAATTTCATCGATGACAGCTTGCGCTTGGGGCATATTACTCGGTCTTCCAACAACCTTAATGTTTCTTCCGCCGATCATAACGCCGTTCATTTGTTCTAAAGCTAATTGGGCGGCTTCCGGAATTTCATATTCAACGAATGCGAAACCTTTGTGTTTTTGCGTAACGGGATCCCAAGACATGTTAATGGATTTTATGGGGCCGAATGGCAGAAAAGATTGTCTTATTGTGTCCTCTTTCAATTCGAAACTTATACTTCCAACGTAAACTCTATTTTTAATTATTTTATGTAGCCGTGGGTTGGAGTTGAAAAAGAAAAATAAAAAAAAAATATATTAGTAAAACATTGAATTCTTTCCATGTTACTATACTCTTTCAATAAAGCAAAAATTAGAAGTTGTAAGTACATATAATCAGATCTTATCAGCTTTTTTGGTTAATTTTCATGAGTTGGAGTAATTTTTAAGGTTATATTAAAAAAAATCTCGACAACTTCGCTTAAAATTATCAAAAGTGATCATCATTTTTGTACATACATGCAAAAGAAAGGTCGTTGTATAAAGAGAAAGATTAATTTCGAATATAATGGTTAGTATTCAACAATTTGTAAATAATATCCATTATATTAATCTAAAATCTTACAAATTGTCTCATTTTTAAACACTTAAATAAGACATCTTGTTCATTTAGATTCTTAATTCTATTTAACCCTTTAACGCATAAATATTTATTAAAAAAATCGTTTTAAAATAGTACAATTATAATGCGTTGAAGTGTTAGAACCTAAAAAGATGATTTTCGACCATTTCTTTTATTATTTTTTTGTTTTTTTTTAAGGGCTAACCTGCACATTAGGGCGAGAGCCTGTTGGCGTTGTACTTGCGTCCTCTGACTAGCCATTTGCTGTAACAACAGAGGGGCATACGTTTACAATTCACTTCTTAATTTGTTTTTTTTTTGTAACATTTTTTTTTGCTTTTAGTTTGCTCATTTTTTTACAATATTGAAAAGGAGTTAATAGTAAGCTCAATAAGAGCATTATTTTTCTTATAATTGTTGGTCCGCAAGGAGCTCTCGCCCCGCGGGCGGGCTCGCCGTAAAAACGTCTACGCAACAAACGTTAGACACTAACCTGCACATTAAAACCAATACTTGGTGTCGCTGGAACGTTTTATGTTTCTGCGGAGCAAATTTAAACAGGGTTTTAAGAGAAATTTAACCTAAATTTTTTGACCAATAAAATAAAACCAATTAAAAAAAAAAAATAAGTTAAAAACAAAAAAATTAAATCATAAAAAATAAATTTTAATAACAAAATAATCTTTATTTACCTGTTGTTGATGAGCTAACGTTTGTTTCATTAAAACCATTTTAATACTTTGTTCCATGGCATATTTCTTCGCCTTGCTAACCGAATCGGTTTGTTCTGTTGATAGTTTTGGAAGAGCACCACCCAAAATCCCAGCCAATGTATTACTTCGAGCCCCAGGTCCTACTTAAATATATTGATTTTATTAAAATAAACTATTTAGGACGCATTTTTTTAAGCTTTATTAGCATAAAATTTTTTTATCCTTGTTTATAGAATTTTATAGAATCAAATAATTTACTTAATCACAAATACGCACTCCAGCAGAGCCTCGTTAGAGCTTCACATGCAGACTTACTTCCTAGGATGCTTGATGATGGGGGCTAATAATGTCACAGCGGCCTATTCCTGCATGGCAAAGCGCCCCTCAAATACGGATACAAATATTGTCACATACGGAGCCGCAGCCTGGTATAGGAACGCCCGACAGACTTCAGTTATTAGTAAACTTTCACGAATCAACAAATAGCTGGATTGGCAATCTGCGGTTTATCGCACAACGCCAACTCTAGCAATGGATGTTCTGCTTGGCCTATCTCCTTTGCATTTTCATATAGAGAAAGTGGCTAGAACTACCATTTACAGATTTAAGCATTCTGCTCAAAACAATTTCAACATGTCCTACCAATGGGCTGCAGAAGATATTATGAGCTATCAATGTCGTCAGATTTGGCGGGATCACTATCAGTGATTAATGTGAGTTTAGAAAACTGTTAGATAATACAAAAAAAGAAGCTTATTTATGATGATTTCAGAAAATAAAATAATTGCTGCCTGGAATATAGTGAAGCAAGAAACCGGAAAAACAAGGCGCAAGAAAGAAAATAATTCTCTCAGTGATAAAACTCAAACTATCAATATGGAAATAAAAGATCCTATTGGGCTTGAACAAATTGAAGAAGAAGAAGGAATGGAACTAGAAGAAATTGGAGATGAAGTGGAAAAGATAATCAAAAACTTGAATAAGACAAATACAAAAATGTTTACAGGATGACAACGAAACTAATTCAGAACATAGATCCAACAATAAGAGAAGTATTATGTATATTATTAAACAAATGCTCAAAAGAGGGAACATTTCCAAATGAATTAAAGTATGTTAGAGTGCAAATGATAAAAGTAAATATAGACCAATATCAATAATACCAATAATGTCAAAAGTTTTCAAAACTATAATAAAAAATAGAATCATAAAACATATAATGGAAAAAAAATTAATAACAAAATATCAACATAGATACCAACAGAAAAAATCAACAATGACAGAACTTCTTACTGTAATTCAAAACATAATAGCTGCTTGTGATATGCAGCGTTACACGCAAGTAACCTTCTGGGAGAAATATAAACAAGCTCTAACGAATTACACCAAAAACATACGTAAGGCAAAAAGAGAGTCTTGGAGGAGGTTCTGTGAGGGAGTGAAAGACACACCCAGCAGTGCAAGAATTCACAAGATTCTCGCTAGAGATCCGGCACTACCCCTGGGCTCACTTAGGCGGCCTGACGGTAGTTTTACGGACTCTAGCAGAGCCTCGTTGGAGCTTCTCATGCAGACTCACTTCCCAGGAAGCCTGATGATGAGGGCCGATAATGCCACAGCGGGCTATTCCTGCAAGGCAAAGCGCCCCTCAAATACGGATTGGAGTGTGGCTAGAAAAGTCGTCACTTACACATCCGTGGACCAGGCAATTCAAACGTTTAAGCCGTTCAAATCGCCTGGAGAAGACAATATCTTTCCTGCTTTGTTACAGCAGGGGAGGTCTTTGTTGTTGCCAATTTTGGTAAAAATTTTCAGAGCGAGTGTCGCCTGGAAATATGTGCCGGCAGAATGGACTAAGGTACGGGTATCTTACATACCCAAAGCGGGCCGTTCGGTCCCTACTT